TGCATATCTGTAGACAGAATATTATGCAGTCATTACAGATCATATTTTTGAAAAAAATCACAACAACGAAATAATACTAAGTATAAAAACCAGACTATAAAACTATATACACAGAATAACCTCAATTATGAGACACCAAAATAATTAAAGGCTTATCCGAATGAGATTAGGATAATTTCTGCCTTTCCCTTTGTAGTTTTTATTTTCTACTCTGAGTATATTAGCTTCACAATCAGAAAAAAAGTGAGTTTAATATTCCAGGTGATTGGGTTCTACATTTGAACCCACAGCTATCACTTAGGTCCTCTAAACCTTAGAAGATTCATTGATAGGACTCTTGTCAATAGGTCTTTCCTTAGCACATGGTATCCTATATTACCTTGAAGATTTACATCCTCAGCTCCACCTCCCTGTTGCATTTCCCCCAACACCTCTCCCAAAATCTTAGCACTATATTCATATAAAAGTTCTACCTCCAACCTGAAGTTCCCTCTGAGACTTCTCCCTCTCTCAATCCATGTACTTCTCATTCCAGTTTTATTTCCTCCAAGGAGACTGCCCTGATTTAGAACAAACAAGAACATTTTAAGTACCTCCTGGGGCCAAGGCAGGGGCATGGGTGGGTGTTTCATACAAGTGTCCAGTCCCTGTTGACCTACCTCCCTTAAGCATTCAACAGCAGAGCTTCAGTCCCAGCCAAGTGCTCGGTTCTCTCAGACTGAGATTCAAACTAAGAAATAATCATGAAGCTTGAAGAGAATCCACTCCATTTCTCCTATAACATCTCTGTTTTTCTTTTAGGAAATAACCCTGGAAATGTTATTGATTTTTTCATGGTTTTTCTGTTTGGCTTCAGGATGGTCTTATCAGCTTGGTTAGTTTAAAAATTGGTTTATAAACTCCTTAAAACTTTTTTTAATTAATAGAAACTATAATGAAGTTTTGCATGTCCAGAGCACTTTCCCAACAAGAGCTCAAAGCTTGCCAATGAATCTTAGTTTCCTGGAGAACTACCTATAGAGGTGAGAGGGAAGGTAGGCATTTGAGACTTAAATACATTGTTAGATCTGCATGATATAAATACACTTGCTGCCATTTAAAGAGAACTGCCCCATAAAGCTGGTTTTCCAGGAATTCATCTCTTCTTTTATTCATTTTAAAAATATTTCTATTTATTTTTTTCTAAAAAAATTCTAGCATTCTAGCCACAACCTACTAGGTTACCTTGTTCTGTGTTTGATTGAAATATTTTAACACCTGTTGCTCCAAAAAGAAAAGAGGAATAGCCCAGTTAACTGTGAACTCTGAATTCACAAGCGTAATGAGCACACACTGTCATTTACAGGAAGGAGCTGTCCCACGGCCATTCCAATTTGGGATTGATTAAAAAGGCATGAAATAAAAACACCTCTCAGGAACCTGCATCTACTTCATGGATCCTCCTGGGCTTCAGGGACCACATTCTACTCCATGTATCAGGAACCAAGCCTCGGTGACCCTAAGAACAGAGCTAGGAATGACAGCAACGGTTCATCGCCTTGAGATATATGACCCCTACTCTTTCTTTACATTACTGGCAAACATTTTTTTCTGGCTAGGAGTTTTCTGTGCTTTGGAAATTGTATTTCTTCATTAGAGCTAATTTTGGGAATGGCATTTTCTTCTCCAGGCTTTGGTCATAACTGCCACGCCTTCCCTCTGTCGGCCACTGAAATTAGCCATAAAGAACACCTATTACCTATGCACATATTGCTTTGTTACAGTTCTCATTTGTACAAAGTGAAAGAGAAAATATTTTTACCAAGCCTTCTGGTTGCTAAAACACCTTGATATTAATTTGTGCTAAAATAACTGGAGGACTAATATCTAATCTCATATAAAGAAGAGACCATGACGACCTTAAGTTCCAATGCAAAGACTTTTGTGGGGACCCCAGGATTATTTTTATACAGACAGTTGGCAACCATAAACTATATATGTGTATATATATATATCCGTCCATCCAACCAGTAGGTATAACATGCACTGACCACCAGGGGGCAGACGCTAACTGCAGGAGCTGCCATGATGTGCACTGGCTACTTAAAAATAAACGGCACCAGGGACCTGGCACCAACAAACCAACACTTGGCTTCCCCCAAGTGAGACACAGGCCCTGCCACACCCTGGAGTGACACCCCACTAAATCGCAGCCAACGCTGCCAAGACCCCATGGTGCAAAATGTAGCCCACAGCCCAGCCCAACCCTGAAACGGTCGCTGTGGTCACCAGGTAATCATGTCACATAGCAACACCCAGCTTCCTCTCCCTAGCAACTACCCTCCTTGGAGTTTCTTCAGCCCAGGGACACGACTTGCTTTATAGCCAGGTGCAAACATTTTACAGTTTAACCAAATGTTTGTGAAGTGTTTTCATGTGCCTCATCTCATTTGATCCTCACAGAAGTCCTGGAGTAGGTAGACAGGAGACTTGGTAGAATCCTATTTTCTTTTCATTAGCAGGAAAACGGAGATTTAGAAAGTTTAGAAACTTGACCTGCCTGAAAAGCAGTAAGAAATGGTAGAACTTGAAAATGACTTCAGGTTTTCTCACTGCAGAGAACATAGTCAAACACTGCTGCAGTTAAATATTTTACCCTTTGTTCTCCATGTGTGATCTACAATAATAATCTGCTTCATGTTAATATTTACTGCTGTGTTGCTGACAATTACCTGAAAGAGAAGTTGGGTGCTTCACTGGGTTGGAAAAAGTTTAGCTAAATCAGAAAGCAGGTCTAATTAAGCAAGTTTGTTCTATATCTATAAAAGGCTAAGTTGACTTGCGCATGTGCGATCACATAAAGCTCTCACAGGTGCCAATTGCATGGGTGTGTGTTTCGATCTCTCATTGTCGATCATAAATTTGGTTGACCCTTCTATTATAGAGAAAGGGCGAATAGCGATATTAAAATATTTCTTCTAATTAATTTCCTTTCAATGTGCACGAATCCGTGCACTGGGACACTAGTAAATTATACACCCTGGCCCTGACTGGTTTGGCTCAGTGGATGGAGCATCGGCCTGCGGACTGAGAGGTCCCAGGTTCGATTCTGGTCAAGGGCATGTACTTTGGTTGCGGGCACATCCCCAGTGGGGGGGGTGTGCAGGAGGCAACTGATTCAATGTTTCTCTCACATCAACGTTTCTAACTATCTCTCTCCCTTCCTCTCTGTAAGAAATCAATAAAATATATTTAAAAAATTATACATCCTATAGTTTTTCCCATCATGAAAGGAAATAAAACCTCATCATTAGTAACCAAAGACACACATGTGATACTACTAGATACAGTCTGTCTTTAAGGGAGAAAACAAATCATGTACTTGAGTACACTGTCTAGAGCGCTGTGTATGAATAAAAGTGGCTTTACATTGCACAGCTGGTGCTGCTCAGTGGTTGAGTGTTGACCTATGAACCAGGAGGTCACAGTTTGATTCCCAGTCAGGACACATGCCTGGGTTGCCAGCTCGATCCTCAGTGGGGGGAGGGGAGGAGGCAACCGATCCATGTTTCTATCTCTCTATACCTCTTCCTTCCTCTCTTTCTAAAAAGTCAATAAAAAAATATTTTAAAAAAACAAGAAATAAGAAGATATAGCATCTGATCTTGGCTTCTAAATACCATATTACACTAAAAAGAAACAAGATACTGATTTCAGGGCTGATGCAGGAAAAGTACAGGATGAGCCTGGAGCACATTATATTTAAAAAGAGGCTTTACACAATTATTTGAATAACAATCATTTAATTATTTTTACTCTAAAAATTAGATCTTACTAGAAATTTCTGTTTAAATCTGAGTGTAAAATTTAACACCTTAAAAACAGAATTCACAGCCACATATTTTAATGTATTATTTCTGTTCACTTGAGAGAGAAGGTGGGCACTATAGTCCATGTCCTCTGAAGGCATTTCTATGAGAATAATCAAATTGTGTAAAATGGAGAAAAATGGTTTAAATTCCAAGAAATCATCCCTCTTGGGCCAGGACAACTTTAACCAAAAATATTTTCACAAAATTTAATTTTAATCATCTTCTTTACAAAGCACAATACTTACGACTTTTCTAAATACAACTTTAGAAAATGAAGCAAAAAATAATTTCCATTAGATGCTGGTGGAGTCCATGCTGAACACACAAGAATTTTTTCAAAAGTGATACTTCCAAGCTTCTTAATGTTTTTTGTTGGGTCCATTTTGTAAAGAGTGAAAATGGTGGCTGTTAGGACAGTGGCTCATCCAGTTTCATGATGTAGAATCCTCTTGCTGGTTAGCCCAAGGGTCATTAATGAAGCTGGATATGCCAACTTCTTCTAGAATCACGTCTCTCTCTGCTTATACAAAGAAAGCCAGTGGCATCTATGAGGGGAAAATGACAGCCCTCTACATTCAGGTTTCCAGTGCCCCATGAGGACACTCCAACTACTCAATGTAGTTATTAACAATCTTACTCTGTGTACACATCATATAAAACTACATCATTAGGGATTTTCATGATGAGTACATGAGAAATCCAAACATGAAAGAATCCAAGCCTCATTCTTATATTAGGTGGTAGGAAATCTCTGAAGGCTTCAAGTTTAACACAAATGCTTAGAACAGTCAAGGAGTACAGGAATGTTTTATGCTGCTCTTGGGAAACTTGGCATTCATGGTCCCAAGCACATTGAGAGCAAGGCTGCTAAAAACACATGGGAATGAAGGTTGGGAGGTTTCTTTGCTTACACACTTATCTTCCCTTAACTCACTTTCTTAACCCTGGCAGACCAGGTGTCCAGGTTCTGTAAATACTCTGGGGCAAGTAGCAGCCTCAAGCAGCAAGGATGAGTATGTAGGCAAGAGGAAGGCGGGGAAAGAGAGAAAGGAAGATACTTTTATTTGTAATACTTTCGATGATCAATAACATGTGATGATTTTTTTGCATCACTTCTTCAGTGTTATCAATTCTCATTCATTCTGGTTGTGAAGATCAATTAATGTTTATTATTTTTACTCTAAAACCCAGGAAATAGACAAAGCAGCTTTTTAGAAACACAAAAAACATCTTCAGGTACCATTAAGGGACCACCACCCCCAACCCCCAAACAATTTTGCTATACAGTATGTCCCCTTATTTTCAGCTAAAGATGAGAAAGCAGTCACACAGACTAAGGCTGAACTGTTTTGTTACAAAGATAAAGCAGACAAGCAAACACGTTTCCTTGGGAGGGAAAAAGCAATTCAAAAAATGCCAGAAAGAATCAATGGCTACACTTTAACAAGAGCCCCCACCTCCCATTCCCTTGCACTTAAGGAAGGGGTTACAAGAGATGGAGGCATATGACATTATGTGAGTACAGCTGAAACAATAACACACACAGATAACCAGTGCAGGAAATAATACAACTTCCCTCCCTCGTTTTTATTTGCATTTTACTTTTATTTATTTTTGCTTTAATAATGCATATTCTGTTCACGCAAAAGGTGCAAAGGACAGGAGGCAAGGGTTTAACTTAGCTGATGAAAAATCAAGCAGGGGTGACATTTCTAGTTTCATGAACAACCTAAAACTAGGAGAACTTAACAATTGCAGCTGGTACCACAGAGCACGCCCAACTTCACAGCTGTCTCCTCTTAGGACCTTTGGCTAGGGGAGAGAAGCTTTGAAGACAGTAGTCTCTAGTGGACTTTGATAAGTGGCTAAAAAAAATTTTGTTTTAAATCATGGTAGCTGCATCACAAAAGTTCCAATCAAGAGGGTGGTAAAAAGAAGGCACAGATCATTGCAAATACCAGATTTTCTCTTTCTCCTTTTGTAAATATACCATCACATATAAGCTAAAATTGATCTCAGGGTGGTGGGGTTTGCTGGCAGGAGAAGGGACGGGTTGGACCTAAAATTGCATATGTAATAGACTCCTAGAGGGGACACAAAGCAAGGCAGCTTTCCGCCTGCAGCAAAAGAAAGGGATGCTTGCTCTGGACTATGTGTAATACAAATACTGGGGGAATCTGTGACAAAACACGATTAAAAAATCATAAAATTATAAAGCTTGTAAACGAATAATCTGAAATTACATTTTATTAATGGAAAATATCATCAAAATAGTACCACTATGGACTAAACTGCCTGAGTTTTCATTTCGCATGAGATCTCATAGTAAAAAAGCCTTTAGCACAATTTGCTCTGTTTAAGTCACAACCAGTGCCAGACCCAGGACTATACCATGGGGAAGAGTCTCCTCTTGGATGGAATTTGTGTTGTGCTATCAAGATTTTTGTGCTAATCTTTCAAACTGGGACATATTGAGGCAAATCTTTAATCTTTTGGCACAAGGTTATTTTGGCTGGGGCGGAAAATTTGAGTCTTGGACTCAGGATGAATAATGCGACATTTCATTGATCAAGTATTCATTTTGATTGAAGAGCTTTCTTTATGTCATTAACTTCCATCTATAAAAGAAAAAGAAGAGCCAACAAAATCATAATGAATTTATAATGAATTGGCTGGTTTGATAGAAGCTTAAAGATAATCACCCTGGTTGATTGAAAGAAAATAATCAACCTGATGAGCTTAAAGGCAAAATGGGTAAAATGACATCTGAATGAAGAGTTGATAATAATGCCAGAAATGCACAAACCTATGGAACAGGCATGCAGATGAGATGCGCTAGGAAATAGTGGATGTTTTAATTCTCAGGCTACCAGCATCCACAATTTGTCAAAAGTAATAACTGTTCTAGTTTCCTGGCCAGCGGGTGGGGCAGGCTGTCCTGACCTGCGGGACCACCTGGCAGTGTTGGAAGGTAGCAGTGGTTGGGCCCAGGGTGGTATCTGTCAGCATTTCCAAAGTGATGACAAGCAGTTACCTATCTTTCTTTAAGCAGCATGGGTCCTAATCACCATTGGATGAAAGCTGAAAGTCTTCCTTTGGCCATTTGGTAACAGCTGAGTTGGATCTGAGTGGTACAAGGCTCTGACACTCTGATGGTACTGACATAACCATCAGTGAGAAGTAAAAAGATAAAGAGCAAGCGCCAAGTGTGGGCAACTGTGGTTCTTGGAATCCCAACGACCACATAACAAAAGCCAACTGGCCATGGGGTCTCCCCAATGCCATGCCCTCTGGCCATTACTACAGTGAGGCCTCTGGAAACCAGGGGAAACTTTTCACCGAGGACATGTTTCAGGTAAATTCCAAGTGAAAAACCCAATTGGGGGTACAGTTACTAATGTCTTCCTTCCCCAAGCTTCCTGGATCCTAGGAAAGGATGCAAAGTGAGTCTATAAAATTCTAAGAAAATTGCCATAGGAAGTATGCCTAAATCTGCAGAGAAGTAACAATCATTTATTTTCAAAATAAAGCCCTGATGCCTCCCCTACCCCCAACTGAGCCTCTCGTGAGGCAGGACCCCAAGGGACCCACCTGCAGTCGAAGCCGGATTTTTTTCTCTTCATCCAACTCTGACAGTAACTGCTTAATCTCTCGTCTGAAAAGCAAACAACAATGAAATTAAACAAAAGTCCAGACTTTCCCAATAAGAGATAAGAAGCCTCCTCTCACTACAAAATCATTCTGACTCTTTTGCAAGGAAAATGTGGACAGAACATTGTCTTCTTTGCATTGTTATTGCTTAAAATTTATCAGAGACAGAAAGAGTTGCCATTATTTCTGGGCTCCCAAAATATGTAGACATCAAATAGCAGGTCTGACATGATCTTTAAGATCCCTCAGTTGAAGCTTCTCCTAAAAGATGACGGGGGAAACTGAGGCCTAGCGAGATGGCCAACTTGTTCAGTGACTAGGCTCCAGGTATCCAGGTTCATATTCTGTTGTCTTTCCTCTCTGCCATCTTGACTGGAAACTATCCCTTCATTATAGATTACTGGTTTTCAAATGTACTTACATAATCATTTTCATTGTAGATATTTTTTACAATTCCATACCTTCTGACTTCTAACCCTTTGACTATTTTTTGTCACTGCATATGGCACAGGGTAATATTTATGTGTGCTAGCTATTTTCGCTTACAGATCTTTCTCCCCATCGAAGTGTTCCTTGAAGATGAACGGTGGGGAGAGAGCATGTGTGGGGGCATGCATGGAGGGAGCCCCTGAGTCTCAGGAGAGCAACTTGCTCAGTATAAAGTCTTGGGTTCAAAGATTCCCTATGTCTTTTCATACATGACAGCCCCTAAATGGAAACTAATTACTATAATGGGCAGCTAACTGAAATAATTGAAATTTTTCTGATGCTAAAGGAAAAGTTGGCTGTTGGGCTGATTAAGAAGTGGTACAGTTGGAATACTATGCTGCTCTCAAAAGGAAGGAACTCTTACCATTTGCAACGGCATGGATGGAACTGGAGAGCATTATGCTAAGTGAAATAAGCCAGTCAATGAAGGAAAAATACCACATGATCTCACTCATTCATGGATAATTGAGACCATTATAAACTTTTGAACAGTTTCAGTGGTTGGGAATCGACCTATGAACCAGGAGGGCACGGTTTGGTTCCATTCCCTGTCAAGTTACATGCCTGGGTTGTGGGCTCGATCCCCAGTAGGGGGCGAGCAGGAGGCAGCGGATCAATGGTGTTTCTCTCTCTCTCTCCCTTCCTCTCTGAAATCAATAAAATATATGTTTTTTTAAAAGGTGGTACACGTGCATACTGTATTTTATGGGGATTTTAAGATCTTTCCTTGCCCTGGCCAGATGAAGGAAATTGGTTGGAGTGTCATCCTGTATACCAAAAGGTTTTGGGTTTGATTCCTGTTCAGTGCACATAGCCAGGTTGTGGGCTGGATTCCCAGTCAGGGCACGTATGGTAGGCAACTGATTGGTGTTTCCCTCACACATTGATGTTTCTTTCTCTCCCTTCCTATCTTTCTCTCAAAAAAAAAATCAGTAAAAACATACTTGGGTGAGGATTAAAAGCAATAACAATGCAAAAGAGGTGTTCCTCTTTCACTTGGTCCCCAAAATATATATAGGGTATCCCAAAAAACAAAAAAGATCTTTCCTTTCAGCAGCTGAAAGGAAAGCATGTAAGTCATTGTAACTGCCCCTTCCCCATTAACACATCAGCCAACTGATACCCTTCCTACATGCAGCAGGCCAAGCTGAGCTCTGTGAAGTCTCTTGAGTTCATACCCACTTCCACCTCCTGCTGCCACTGCCATCACAGGGAGGCTGGCCCACCTTCCAGGGCAGGCTGAGACCCAGGCTTGCAGACTAGGCCCTGGCCCAGCAGAGAGTGACCCAGAGGGAGAAGAAGAAGGGGCCCCAGATACTCACTTCTGCTGGTCCTTCATGGTCTCGATGATGCTCCTCAGTTCTCGGACCTGTGTCCTTAGCTCCTCCAAGGCCGCCTGGCTGATGGCCACAGGCTCCATCTTTGGTTTCCCTTCCGTGCCAAACAGAGATGGGGAGTTGGCTCTGTGTCCGGCTGTTCCCAAAGAGGACGACAGGGGGGCGGGTACCACCGTGGACAGAGTGGCTGGTCCACCACCACCACCTGCAGCCATGGTCCCTGGCTTGGGTGGCAGGGGTGCTTTGTTGTCAGACACCTGTGGCAAGGGATGGCAGAGAGGCTTCAGGCTAGAGATTCATGTTTAGCAACCCCCTATCTACATCACCACCCATGCCTCCCACCACATCTTCCTCACTCATTCTTTCACCTACAAGCCCCAAGGGCCTACTTGGTATAGGCATTCCCCATAGAAGTGTCTTTTCTTGTATGTTTTACATTGGATCACCTTTCTGGCCAGGCAGTTCCTATTTGTTTAATGTACACATCCAGAGTCGCACCTCCTTGCTAGGCTCCGAAAACTGAGTGATCAAAACATTTTCCTGGCCCTCAAGGACTCAGTGAGGTGTAGACAGACAGACCAACCAACACCCTGCAGATTAGAGGGAAGTCTGTACACAGGAGGGAAGCACAGAGAGCTGCAGAAGTACGTCTAGTGGGCAGAGCCGACAACTGAAAGAGTGAGCTGGGCCAGAGAAACTGCCAGAGGAATAGAATGCCATGGGGGTGAACAGCACAGAAGTAGAAAAGAAGCTCAATGATGGAAGCTGGGGACTTCCCAAATTGAAAAGGTGGGAAGAAAAGGTAAAGCCCTTGAGGACTAGGACAGAGTGGTGAGAGGGGACAAAGCCAGACCGGAAGAGGAGCCTGGGTTATGTAAGTCCCCTATAAGAGTTTCCAGAAAGAAAAAAAAATGGTTGGATAAGTGGGTCAAGGGTGCTAAGAGGAAAACTGGGGGAGCCCACTTGCTGGAGAAAGGGAGATTGAAACCTGATCAAGGCAGTCAGTGCCTGACACGGGTGAGGGGTGTGACTTGCAAGTTTAGAACACTTTCCAAAAACTTGGCAGAGGAAGGAAAATGGGATACAGTGTTCACGGAGAAGCCACAGGAGGAGGCAGAATCAAGAAACCCGGCTGGAGACAGAGGAGATAGGTGGAGGCCAGATGGAGAAGTATTCTGAGGAGACCAGGGGGTGGGAGGGCATGGGGCAGTCATAGGTTGGAGGGAAGAGGGGCATGTGGCAGGCCCAAGGAAGGAGACAATAGCAAGGGAAGGTGAGATGTAGACAGGTGGGGAGGACTTTGGGAGGTGAAAGGGTGAGTGACAGGCAGAAGAAAAGGTTGGTGTTGAAGCTGGGCAACACAGTCAGAACTCCCTCTAGCAGCAGGCACCCAGGGCGGGAGCCAAGAAGGGGCTTGGCTAGCATGGTAAGGAGGCAGAGTGTGAAGTCAGACTGTGCTGGAGGGAGAGACTGGGCAGAGTACGACAGAGGCAGATGGGCCAGCATTCCCAGCTTCTCTGCTTGCCTTTTCTCTGCCAAGTTACCATTGAGGAAAAGCGCTTTCTGCTGCCAGAGATAGCGATCAGCCATTCCATGCTTATTGTTCATAGAAGTTATAATAGAGGGAAGAGGGACTGACATTTATGGAGTACTGGTCACCTGCCCGACATCGGCTAGACAATTGAAACAAAGACCAGTTGGCATACATGTTTGACCGAGCAGGAAATGGAGGCTTAGGAACACGGTTTAGAAATTCCCCAAGTCTCACAGTTAATAACTGGCAGAGCTGGGATTCAATCCTCTCCTCCATCAGCCGGACCCTCAAGCCTGGTACCATGACTGTGGTTACCCAAGTCTGAAAATTCACACTCTAATGTCTTTATTTTCTTTGTTTCTTTCCTACTCCTGAGTTCACACTTTTTCACATTTTCTATCCTGCATCTTCATATACCTCCCCCAACCCATCAATGTCCTCACACTGACGGGCTTCCAGGCATTTCTTGAATGAATGCTTCTCTGAGCATTTACTACATGACTTGCTCTCCAGGCCCATTTCAACTAACAAATACTTTTTAAAATTCTCACAGAACAGAGGATACCATATACCTTCACCAAATTAGTTCATGTGGAATTTCTAGAAGCAATAAACAACATGACATGACAGCTGCAGGGAAGTGAAAGAGCCTAAAGCAGTGGTTCTCAACCTTCCTAATGCCGCGACCCTTTAATACAGTTCCTCATGTTGTGGTGACCCCCAACCATAAAATTATTTTCATTGCGACTGCATAATTATAATTTTGCAGCTGTTATGAGTCATAATGTAAATATCTGATATGCAGGATGTATTTTCATTGTTACAAATTGAACATAATTAAAGCATAGTGATTAATCACAAAAACAATATGTAATTATATATGTGTTTTCCGATAGTCTTAGGCGACCCCTGTGAAAGGGTCGTTTGACCCCCAAAGGGGTCGCGACCCACAGGTTGAGAGCCGCTGGCCTAAAGGACAGAACTGTAAAAATAAAAAATGTGAAGAGCCTCTGCCCACCAGTAGATGTCACTGTAGAAACACCCCAAGGCTGTCTGAGAGGTCAGAGAGAATGCAACTAACCTTGTATACCTAGGATAACCCGAAAAAAAAACCAGGTCTAAATCCAATTTCTGCAAATGGAATCTATAAATTAAAAGTGTAATATGCTAATTAGACCAGACAGCCAAACGACCTTCTGGATGTCTTCCAGACATCCTTTTGGACGACCTTCCAGATTAAGCTGGGACTGTGAGGGCTGAGTCCCTTGCACGAATTTCGTGCATAAGGCCTCTAGTCCTTTTATAAAGGAAGAATGCTTCAGTTTTGTGAATAATTACAATTAATATGTTTTTATAGAATAGTTTTGAATACTGTATCAGGTGTTAAGGAAAATCCATGCATGTAAAATTTTAAATCTATGAGAAGGAAAATCCTACATAAATTTTTATTTCTTTGTGTTAATTCCTGTTTCAATTGCCTTTAAAAATGACTACAGTTTTCTACTTTTAGACAGAAAGTAGTTGCAAGTATTTATAGAAAATTCCAACTGTCTGGGTTCTCTTAGCATAAATTTCAAAATCTTGGTTCACATTCATAGGACAAGCAGAATTTGTACAGGGTATCATTCAGAAGCCATACACAGTTGCTAAACAATGTCTTCTTTGCTTCACACAAGCCAGTAACTTAGAAGAGCTATACCATCCCCTGGGCATGCAATGAAATTAAAATGTTTTTAGACTATAAATTTATCCTAATAAATACAAATCACCTTTTAAGATAGCACCATTAATTATTCAAACTCATGAGCTGCCAAACATAGTTTGTGACACCACCAGTTTTGAACATAAAAGACAAGATGTGTGGGCAGAGGGCACAACGTTTAATACAGTTGATGTATTCTTTCTAGACACCTATAGGCTTTTTAAGTTGTCTTGGTTTCTGAGAAGGTGATAGTATGCAAGGGCATTTGTGTATATGTGGATGATGGTATGAAGAGGAGATCAAACCACAAGAGAAAACATGGGAAATCATCAATCAAACTTGTTTCTCAGGGATTCTGCCCAGTTTTGGAGACTTTGTAAAATGCCTTGGGGATTTTGATGACAATCACTAAAGCACCATCACTAAAGAATGACAAAAACTTGCATTGTCTGTTGCAACAAACTGAATGTTTGTGCTCTCCCAAAATTCATATGTGTAAATACTAACCCATTTTGATGGTATTTGGAGGTGAGGTCTTTTGGAGGTAATTAGGTCATGAGGGTGGAGCCCTTGTGAGTGGGATTAATGCCCTTAAAAAATATACCCCAGAAAGCTTTTACCCTCTCTCTGTCACGTGAGGATACGAGAAGTTGGCAGTCTGCAACTCAGAAGACGGCCCTCACCAGAAACTGATGGTGCTGGCACCCTGATTTCAGGCTTCCAGCCTCCAGAAAAGTGAGAATTAAATTTTATTGTTAATAAGCCACCCAATCTATAGCACTTTGTTATAGAAGCTTGAACTGACAGAGACATTTATTTATCTTTGTTTGATTTATAACTCATCATCAGTGCATACACAAAAAGGCAGGGATCTTATGCTGTCGTGACACCCTCACCATGGCCAGTCACTCACTTGGGATATGGTAACAGTCTTTGAAGTTTTCTTTGATGTGTCCACTCCTCTGTGTGCAAGCGAAACGTGTTCTTCTTTATCTTCTTCGGGACTTGGGGAGTCAAAGATATCAGGGCTTGAAAGGGAAGACTGGATAAAGCCAAAAGAAAATGCTTTTGTCAGAATTACACCTTAGCTGACATAGCTTCTGTTAACAATGCTGTATGATTTTCAAAGCACTTGACACTTGTATTTTGCTTGTCTTCTCATTATAATGAACAAATATGTAGTCTAAAAGCAGAGCAAAGATGAGATGCTTTTACTTGGTCCCCAAAATATATATAGGGTATCCCAAAATGTATATACATATTGAGTAATTATAAAGGCACTGTTTATTAAAATACATTTCATTTTCAAAATTGAACTATCAGCTATTAAAGTGTGTATACATTTTTGGGGACATCCTGTATAAACTCCCAGACATGGGATGTATGTACCAAGGGTGGGGTGGTCGATGGTAATTTGCACTTTTCTGTATATAATTCTGGATGCCACAAGGCCCTCTAGATCTTGAAAAGTTGGGAAGAATTTGGAGGGAAAACAAAAATGATGTAAGATTTGTAGAAAAGATGGAAGAGGTAAGATTAGAAATTTAAATACGGAGATACCAAGAAGCCATTAAAAAGCTTGTGTGTATATGAGATGCAAAAGGGAGGGTGTGAGTAGGTGACATGAAAAAGGGAAAGAAGATGGTATTGACACAGTACTCTATATGAGGGTAAATGTAAGCCCCCTTTTCAAGTCTTTCTTCACAAAAGGTGTCAATACATAGTTAGGTTTGTTTCATACAAGAGGAAAAAGAGGATAACTCAAACCACACTGCCAGACTCAGAAGATATGAGAGAAGAGGCTCAAAGAAGTTGCATTCTTTTTCTTCTAAATGATGATCAGTGATGAGGTAAAAGTAGAAAGTATCCTGGGAAACCTGCATATCAGGATGAAGGTCATAAGGCCTTCGACCTGCATTCCTAGCAAGGGCAAGGCAATGTGATATAGAGAGATAGACAAATAGATAGAAAGACAGGCAGACAGACACATATACACTGCTTGCAGAGCATCAAGATTTTTCTACAAAGACATTCACATCAGTGTTTATAATGAAGGGCTAGAAACAACATAAATGTTCAATGATAGTGCACTGGCTAGATAAACTATCATCTATTCACAAATTAGAACACCAGGCAGCCATTTAATGTGACGTTATGGAAGAATGTGTAATGATTTGGGAGAAAGGTGCACAATATAAGGGGAACAAGCAACTTCCATGCAATGCATACTAAGTGATCCCATTTTTTAAGAAACAATTTTATAGACACAAATAGAATTTTAAATAAAAGCTAAGGTAATAGCAAGAAAGTACCAGATTTTAGCTCTGGGGAGCAGTATTACAGATAATTTTCTTTATGAATTTCATTGTTTAAATTTGGTACAATAATGTGTTACAGGTTTCCAATGAGAAAAGAAGTTATTCAAAACAACCCAAACAAAAACATTCTATGGGTTATCCAGAGGGTTCTGACTGTACTTTCCAACATGACCAGGTGCCTCATATGTTTAAATGTAAACTCTGTAAGGTCTGTGTGGCAGAAAAAGGCTTGTCACTGCCAAACTCTGCATAGTGACAGAGCTTTCTTTAATAGTTGTGTTTTGTTTATATACCAAACCAGCCTTGTTCTCCTTTCCTACCATAAAACATGACATTTTTTTCTTACCAATTTCATTTCAGATTCAAACAACAATCAGTCTGGAAGGAGAAGGAGGGAAAGTGGGAACAGGGAATGCCTACCTGGCTGGCAGGCACACCAAGAACAAACAAATACTGCTTGATTTCAGAGGACTCTCAAATCACTTTTGATCAACAGTGTATCTCATAATCTCCCTCTCCCGCTTGTCCTCCAAACAGCCACTTGCATTGGAGTCCTTAACTAGAATTTCTAATGTTTCCTGCATTTTAGCTGTAGAGAAGTGAGAAGACACTTACTGATGTGAGGGACTGGGACGGAGGCCGCCTCCCTGTGGCTTTTGGTCTGCTTGTGGTTGGGTGACTGAGTTTCTCAGTAGATGATACCACGGAGTCAAAACCTTCTAGGTCTAAAACAAAAGTAAAACAGATTTCTAAGAGCAACAATAGGAGTGAGGATGGTTCTCATAATGTGCCAGAAAGAATCTCTTTTCCTTGACAATCATCCTTGATGCTTGGATTACATTTCATCATTTATGAAGGCTGTTTACATCTTTTCGTCATCGAATAAACATGACTCAAATGGAGAGAAGAATCATTTCCACCTCAGTTTAACAAGATAACATGGAGGACAGAGACAGAGGATTTTTCTTCCCCTCTTCTACACCTATATTCATAAATCTTGAAAAGCTACAGAAAGGAGTAAAGGGAATGAATCTTCTTTTTTCCACAAATTTAAGTTCGTTTTGGTAGATAAAACATTCTTGCAGCCTCATCATAAAAAGTAGTTATCATGAGGTATGATAACATCCTTGGACATGTGAATGCTGGTAATTGGTTACAAAAGACAAGAGACGGCAGGCTCCTCCTCTGGTTGTACCGCAGTACTCTGGCCATCAGCTCTCACCTTAACGTTAGATCATAAACTCCCTATAGATGGAGAGCAAGCTTCTACTTATTCAGATAATTCACAGAGCTTGGCACCATTCTCTTTCTAGAGGCATCAGTCAATAAAGGCATCATCTTATTTGGTCATTAGCATGTTCATTCATTTACTCCATTATGATTGAGCAACTAGTACATGCCACACACACACACACACACACACACAACACACACACACACACACACACACACTCAGCTCAATACCAAGGATACACCAGTGAGTATGGTGGGCACGAGCCTGCCCTCAGGAACCTCACATCTCTGTGACTAATGTCTCAGATGAATGTAGAATCATTCAACCAGATCATTACTGTACCTGGCATGTGACCAGGAGGGAGGCCTATGCCTTGATTTTGTCACCCTCTTCAACAAATGATCAGATCAAGTTGTTACCTGGATCTACAGAGTTTGAGGGATTTACAAATGAAGTGTAGACATGTATGTGATGCACAAAGGAAAGGCTGGCAGAAAGGGGCCAACCCTGAGACCCATTATTGCTTGTGACTAGGGCAACACCATCTCTTCCTGACAAGAGTACTGTTTCATATACTATGTTAGGCACTGCCTTCCCAAACCATTCCTCATTCTCCCTTTAACACAGTATTAGTTTTGTTTCGGGACAGTGTGCCAGCCCCCGGGCTGAAACATGTTTAGTCTAAGTCAATCATGCTCCTTGTTGCCTGCAATTGGTCTGGAGGTGGCCATGTAGCCCAATTTGGGTCACAGAAATAAAGGGAAATCTACTAAGAAACTCTGAGAAAGACATTACCTCTCTGGCTGGAAAGTGCCAGCTGAGTGGAAGGCCATTTATGTTGTTCCCTTTCTTCTTTCCTGTTTGGGATGTTGTTATGAATGGATAGGATGTGTAAAGTTGTGGCAGTCATCTTATGACCATGAGGGGAGGTATGGCCAATGCTCTTGGAGATTATAAGGATGGCAGAGAGAAAAATGGAAATATCTTCGGTGACCAACAAGCCCAATGAGCCACCCGCCAACCCTGGAATAATCTAGTGGCCAGACTTTCCACGTGACATTAATAACCCTCTGTTATTTTAGCCAATTTTAATTAGATATTCTTTATTTGCAACTGAAAGCATCCTAACCCATAACTGAAAATCTGCTGGATCAGGAGAGAAAAGATAAAAATTATGTATGTTTTCAATCAGAAAGAACATATGCACCCCTACGTTCATAGCAGCACAATTTACAACAGCTAAGATTTGGAAACAGCCTAAGTGCCCATCAGCAGATGAGTGTATTAGAAAACTGTGGTACATCTACACAATGGAATACTATGTTGCTATAAAAAAAGAAAGAACTCTTACCATTTAGTGGGGGGAGGCTGGGTTTGGGGGGAAGATATCAACCAAAAAACTTGTATGAATATAAGCATAACCAATGATACAGACAATGCGGGGCGTGTAAGCCAGGGCTGGGGGTGGAGGCAGGCTGGGAGAGGACAGTGGGGGGTGCAGAAGGGGACATACATAATACTTTCAACAATAAAGAATTTTTAAAAAGTATGTGTGTTTTTCCCCTCCTTATTTTGGAGAGCTCTCTTTTATTGATGGTTATGATAAGTGAGCCGGCTGTGTGATGGCTTTATTCTATTAATGAGCAGGCAGGTGTTGTCTGCAAATTATTTCCCTTAGTGGAATACGCAAAACCAAGCACACGTCACTGATCAGTACAAGCCATTACATTATACCAGGGATTATATGAAGTGACTTTATGCTAGCACCTGGTAAATGAATAACCAGTCAATGAACTTATTTTATTTTATCAGAGCAAGGCAAATATAACCAAAGGCTAACTATCTGCAGAGACAGCATAAAGAAAAATATCCGTGGTGCTCAGAGACCAAAGGAGGAGCCAATCAGCACCCAGCACCACAGTGAGGCTCCTAAAAAGGGTCCCACCTCGCAAGCCAGCTCAGTAGGGCTCAGGGATGGGCCAAGACCTCCACTGCTAGGTGGACCTCTCCAGAGCCAGTTCACTGCTCTGACCCTCTCAGGGGACTTCTCTTTAAGAAAATCTTATTTTCCTAAAAGTCCCCCTCCTGACCACACCCCAGGACTCACCTTTACTAACTCCATGTTGTTTGAAAAGGAAATTCCTCATTACACACTTGGATTGAGTGCAAAAGCTACCATCTGACATTAACATTCCCTCAATTTTTTTAAAGTCACCTTTTCTCTGATTACAAAAGTATATATATATATATATTTTTACTTTTACTCAATGTATAATTTTTAAAAAACACATAAAATTGTAATAACAAAAGAAAGTCAATTATAATCTTACCACACTGGGACAACTACTATTAGCATTTCGGTGTATTACCCTCCGGGTTTTTTCTATAAATAGTCTAGTTCACACTATAAGTAGTATTGCATCTGTTTATTTCATTAACATAACATGCCACAACTCTAAATTTTTTTCATAAATATTTTGATTGCTGTATAATCTACTGCATGGCAATTCATGTTTTATTGACTCAATCCCCTATTATTGGATGATTCATTTCCATATCATTCCCCACTCCAGTTTTTTTAAAATTATAGAAACGTGTCCACCAACATCCTTGCATACACTCTGTATACAATGTGTTTAGCAGGTTCTCTATGCAGCTTCCAAAAAGGGAGTAGGAAATAAGGCCCATGTTAGGGAGGTCTGCTCATGGGGGGCAGATGGTTACAGAGGACAGGGGCCACAAAGACTGCAGAGGAAGCCTGAGAGAAAGGAGAGAGGACACAGAACTGAGGAGCAAATGTTAAGCAGGCAGCCAGGGGAGGTGAAGAAGAGGGCTGATAATGGTTCCAGCAAACAAGGTGCTGCTGGGGGCCTTGGCTGTGTGTTACCAGGGGCTGAGAGGGACCGCCTATATTATGGCTCGGTCCAGGAAATGGAAGCAAGCTCTGGAGGCAAAATCTGAGCAGAGTGAAGCCATTATAGAACAATTAAAGGCTAAGTGACTCTGGGTCTCCACCTTAGCTGCACAGTGGAACCACCTGGACAAGTAAAAAGACTTGACTCATGCTGGGACCCCATGCTGGGGACTGATTGAATTTGTCTGGGGTAAAGGCTGGGCATGTGTAGGGTTTCAATCTGCCCAGGTGATATGAGCATGCAGGCAAGTAAAGAAGGGGAGGGAGGGATAAGTAAGGACTTGACCAAGCAGAGAGAGGGGAGTGAGCTGGGGTAGGAGCCATCAGGTAAGTGACGGGGTGTTCCAGGGCCCAGTAAGTAGACAGACTTCAGGACAAGTGAGTTATCAGGAGTAAGACACAACACTGGGCTGGGCAGTGCGGACACGTTTGGGAGGAGGGGGCAACAAGGGGCCAGACCAGTCGATCAAAGTGGTAACCAAAGGCTTGGGCATTGGTGACAGGTCAGGAACACTGCAGCTGAAGTGAGAAGGAGGCTGATGAGGCGACCTAGCGTATAGAGTTAGATGGGAGAGGGATGTGGCGAGCATGTGGAATGGCCCCAGGTCCCCTTAGGATGGACTCTGTATATGCACTGGTGTGCAGGAATAGACAAGTTCATGCCCAGGAAACATCTGCTAGAATCCAGAGAGGGCTCCATCTTTGCTCCCCACCCACCCTCCTAAAATAATTAAGCCCCCTGGGAGTTGCAGGTTTGATGGTGTGTGAGATGGTGGTCTGTCATAAATCATACTTTCAAAATGACTCAGAGGTGGGTGTCTGTTTCCCACACTTAGACTGCGAGCCCCAGGAGGGCAGGAACTTATCTTTGAGCTCTCGATGTCTAGCACGTTCCTGGAGAAAATGTGCTTAATATTCTGCAAATGAAGGAACACGTGAACAACTGAACAAGTCAATGAATGAATAAACTAAGCTCAAGAAAAAAACTCTGATTCTAGGAGTGCAGCTTACAGAAGTGACTGCTAGTGGGATGTGAGGCAGCAGCTTCAGGGTGGAAGGCAGCATTCTGTGCCACGGCTGCTTGGCTGGCCCATTTCATTTTACTGGCTGAGGTCTGCACTAAAAAGACCCACACATGCTGAAGCCTGGCTACACTCAGCCAGCGTCTCCCGACAGATGGCCAAGAAGACTGCCTCATCTGTCACTCAAAAGGGTCAGAATCCGACGGGGGGAGGGGCTTTTCACTTCTTCATGCATATTCAGCTACGTTGAACTTTCTTTAGTTTGAGCTTTTAAAAAGCACTTTTTGAAACAACAATAAAAAACTTCCAGAAAAAAAAAGACACCAAATATGAGGTCACTTGCTGAAATAGGGACCTCAGACCCTGAATTGCAACTCACTTCTGCTTTCTGACAGTGAAGGGGGAAACTCTTCAGTACTGTAACCTAAGTTTTCGGTGGCACAGAGCACGCTCTCATGACTGTGATCATGGTAGCTGAGATTCAGGCAGAATTTCCATGACTAACCCATTGTGGTGTGAAGAAAATGTCGCAATTTTCATGGTGGTTTTGAAATG